GGGGGGGGGGGCGTGTCTCCTGGACCACTCTCTGTGTTGCGGACGGGCGGCCGGCAGCGGCCCCTGCTGAGGGAGCTCGGAGCCCAGCCCGGCCCCGGGAACAAAACGCCCGTCGCCAGCGCCCCAACTCCCCCTCCCAAGGGGGGCCGGGAGGGGCCGGCGCCGGAGGCGTCCAATACGCGGCCGCCACCCACGGGCGGGGGCGGGGAGGGGGGGCCAGGGCCGATCGGCCCTCCCTGGGCCGCCGCCGCCGCCGCCGCCGGGGCCGGGGGGACAGGGCGTCGCCGGGGGGCGGTGTGTCACCGTGCCCCGGGCTCGCCGTCAATGATGATCGGGGTGCTCGCTCCGGGGCGCGCACCTTTCCCCCCCCTCCGGTGAGGGGGGGGGGGCGATGCGGCGCGAGGGCCCCGGTCGCGTCCTTGGCCATCCCGGCGCAATAACAACAACAACAACAACAACAACAACAACATTGCCCCCGGGCAGCGCCCCGGCCGCCGGGGTGCATCACCGCCGCCGGCGCTGGCGTGCGAGCCGGCATGAACAACAACAACAACAAGCGGCCGGCCGGCCGAGGGGGGGGGGGGGCGGAACAACAAAAACAATAATCGGCGCAGGGCCGGGCGGAAAAACAAAAACAACGGCCGGCACGCTGGTGCATGCCCGGCCCCGGCCGGCCCTTGGGCTGGTGGCCGGCCGGGCCTTCTTTGCCCTTTGCTCGCTATTTCTTTTCCCACCGAGGCGTCTCGGAGCCCGGGGGGGGGGACGGGGACGGGGCCGACGCGGCGCGTGGTTCCCCCTCCCCCTCCCCGGAACCCTCGCCGGCCGGGGACGGCACCCCGGTCTGCGCAAGGCACACGGTGCCGGGCCGCAGCGCCGGCGGTGACCGGGCCCCCCGCCGCCGCCGCCGCCAGCGGTCGCCAGCTCCGGGCAGCGTGAATCCGGCGCGCGCGCGCGCGCGCGCATCGCATGTTGTCTCCCCGATCGGCGTATTGTTTTCGCGCGGCCCCGCCCCGGCCGCCGGGGGGCGCCCCGTGAAGATAAATGTTTTTTTGCTGGGCGTGCGCGCAGTCTGACTGGGGTTCTTCCAGCGGCGGTGGCGGCGCGCTGGGGCTCGGGTAAATAAAAGATCGTGGCCCCGGCGCGCCAGGGCGGCAGCCGCCAGGGCCTCGACGCGCCCGGGCGCCCGAGTCTCTCTGGAAGGATCCACCGCCCGGCCGGCGGCGGGCCGAGTGCGCTGCCTTCGACGGCCCGCCCCTGGCGAGGGGGCAAGGAGAGCAGGGCAAGAGAAGCCCCCCCCGGCCCGGCCCGGCCCGGGGACAGGACGCGTGGGCAGGGCAAGCTCGCCCGCCGGCTTGAGCCTGGGCCACACAACGTGGTAAACAAGCGCGCGTGCCCACTTTTGCCCGGGGGTCGGCCCCCTTGCGCCCCCCCCCCCCCCCCCTCCCGAGGATGGTGCGGGCAGGAGCTTCGTCGGCCGTGCCGTGCCGTGCCGGGCCGGGCGGCGTGGTGTGCGCCGCGGCCCACATGAAAATGGCCGCCGGCTTCCGGGAACACTCGCGCGCGCCGTTCGGAGCGGGCCTCCTGCGCGCGCCGCACGCACGGCCGGCGGAATGTTCCCCGCGCGCCCGGAGGCCGCCTCGGAACCCGCGCCCGCCCAGCCCGCCGCTTTCTTGGCTCTTGACCCGGGCCCCCGCGAGCGCGGCAGGGTTCCGCCAGCCCGGTGACCCCAGCCTGGTGGCCGGCGTCATCCCAGTCCCCCCCCAGCCCCCCCCCCCCGGGGGGGGGGGGGGCGACGGTCCGCGCCCGGGCAACAGACGACAC